TTTTTTTTTCTTTCTTTCTTTCTTTCTTTCTTTCTTTCTTTCTTTCTTTCTTTCTTTCTTTCTTTCTTTCTCTCTCTCTCTCTCTCTCTCTCTCTCTCTCTCTTTCTTCCTTTCTTTCTTTCTTTCTTCTTTCTTTTTCTTTCATTTTGCTTGCTTGCTTTCCTTTCTTGTATAAACCTGGGTCAGATGTATTCTTTGAAGGGGGAGTAAGGCGTCCATAGCCTGATTTGGCATGCCGAAGGGTACACATGTCCAACATTTCTATAAAAAGAACATCCCAAGATTCAACCATCTATTCGAGGCTTCTCCAAAGATCAATGGGGCCTCAGCTACAAAAAAGAAATCTCGGAACTGGTAATATCTCATGCTCGTCCCCACAACCTGGAAGGATTCAAGTTGCCCATGTCACTGGAGGCCTGACGCCCACCTACGGTGGTCTGGCGGTTTGGGTAGGACTATGACAGTGTCAACCCTTGGAAGGTGAGATAGAAAGCACGTTACCCCGACAGGCGGCCTTAAATGTGCCGGGGCAAGGAGGAAGGATGCAGTGCAGACACCAGGAAAGTCCAGCCTGGGAACAAGAGAGACTCTTTCTTGTGTCACAGTGCAGGGGAGAAGCAAAAACGCAAACGGTACGTGGATGACGGAGTTGCAAATCTAAGAAGACTGACGAAATGGAAAGAGGAACGAGTGAGGGTTCAGGCGGTTCTGGAACCGAACCCAGAGGCTTTTAACACGCCTGTGTCTAGCTCGGCAGAGGCCAGCGCGCCCCAGCCCTGGACTTAGTCAAATGTCTCCTCCATTTACTAGCTCCATTTTCTCATCTGCCAAATGAAGATAGTGATGGTGACTGTAAGGATGATTCAATTGTTTATTTATCATTTTTAACAGGGCCTGGTTCACGGTTAGAACTCAATACTAGCCATGGTCACGACAGCGGTAAAGATGGCGATGATGGTGAAGCTGGCCTCTCTCCAGAGCATAGAACCCTGGAATAGGCTCCCTGGGGAGGGCCGACGAGCGTGTGGGTCCCACGAGAGAGGGGTAACCGTGGGAAGTGAAGAGGAACCAGGAGAGGAAGAGACAGAAGGCACAGAACCAGTCGGGAGGCCTTTGTGTCATTCCCAGGGAGACAAACTGATACCTGCCCAGGGCGGTGTCTGGAATGGTCTCTAGATAGTCATGAGATTGAATTGTAAACACGTTATACACAGTGATCATCAGAATGTACCGTTCCCCAGCTTTACAGTGAATATTTGGTCGAGTGTCCAAGCAAGCCACGTGGAGGCACCAGCAGGAGGACCCCACCTGGAGAAGGAGAGCAGTGGGCTCAGGGAGAAAGAGCTTGATGCTCAGAGCCACACCTTAGAGGAGCAGCTCTGCTGATGGAAAAATCTCTTCCCTTCACAGATAGGCAGGCCCCACGGGATGCTGGTGCACTCCCACCGCCCACTCGCTGGCCCCCGAGGGATCAGAGGCTGAGATCGCTCGTTTCCGAACGACCCACACTGGCTTTAGGTAAGAAAAGGGGTAAAGAGAAAAGGGAAGCATCTGTGAAGAGCTTTTGGTTTTGTTTTTCTTTTCCGGAAATGTGTTGTGCTGGGGGCAAATTGCCACACATGTATGATATGTGTATGTGTGTAAATGGGTCTGTATTGCTCTTTTGCTGACTGTAAAAGTAATGCATACTCATTAGAGAAAAATTGCAAAATACAAAAAGTCGAACGTTGAAGATAGAAATCAGTGATTAGACCACTATCCAGAAATAATTGCTCTGCCTTTTGATTTGTTACCTTTCCTTTGATTGATTTACGATGTGTACATCATACAAACGCACATATATAATAGATCTGTTAAATTTATATTTTATTTAGACAATTGGATCATATGACAAACTGTTTTATATCCTATCTATTGCAGTTATTGTTGATGTTTTTCTGTGATTAAATGTTCTTTGGAAACATTTCATTTACATATAATGAAATTTACTCTTTGTGATGTATCTGAGTGTTGACGAATACGTAGATTCACATTACCACCACCACAGTCAAGATACAGATCCGTTCTGTCACTGCCCCCCAAATGCCCTCCCGCTGTTCCTTCTTAGTCCCTCTCCCAAGTCCTGACCCCTGGCAACTACGGACCTGTTCTCCACTCCTATAATTGTGTCATTTCCAGACTGTCATGTAGATAGAATCATACAGTTTGCAGCCTTTGGATCTGGCTTCTTCCACTTAGCACAATGCACGTGTGTTTCATCCATGTTGTTGCATGTGTCAAGGGCCGGCTGTGCTTTATCGCTGCCTAGTACTCCGCCGCGCAGATGCACCGCTATTAGCTCATCTAGTCCCCAGGTGAAGGACATTTGGGTTGGTAAACATGACTTTTACTATTTGAATGGTATTCTATCGTGCACATCTACCAAACCATATGTAAACAGTTCTGTGTTGAGTATGACCCTGTTATACCCATGTTAAATGAACATCCTCATATATAAATCTTTGCCTTCCCAATATATATGTATACCTTCTTACAGTGTACATATATCTTAAGCTGTCAACGAATATACAGTATGCCCTGCTGGGGATCTAGAAAAATATAGAAAAAATAAAAAATACAGTTCTATTAGAACTTTCTGAAAATCTTTGATTATATAATAAACGGTGGGGGTCTCAGTGCTTTGTACCATCACGAAAATAGAAAATAATAACTCACTTTAATTCTCATGCAGCAGTTTTAACTTGTCTCTCGGTTCTGAAAGCCTAAGCACATATGTCTTTAAAAGCCCATTTTGGGATACTGTTTTCCCAGCAGGAAAATGAAACCTTGACACACACAGGACGAGAAGGATGACTGTGGGAGAGCTGGTCTCAGGGCCGGTGGGGGCAGGTAGGGCAGCATAGCTGAGTTTTTAGTTACATTTGAGCACCTGCAGCCAAAGCCACTAAGAGAGGAACGACAAGGCTGGCACTCTGTTCTGCGTAAAGGAAAGGGACTTCTCTTAGAGTAGATGCTGCTGCCCTGGGAATTAAAACAGAAGTAGAAAAAAATGTCAGTATTGCTATGTGACACCTGCTTTCAAAAATATACATGCACATTGCAGAAAAATTTAAATGGTATGGAAAGTTATCGAGTGAAAGCAAATGTCCCATAGTCTCTCCATTCCCACTTTCCACAGAGAATCGTCCTTGATAGTTTCAGTTGTCCTTCTGGGAATGTGATACACACACACACACACACACACACACAACCCCCCCTCTCTCGCTCTCTCTCTCTCTCTCTCTCTCCCTCCCTCCCTCCCTCTCACACACACACACACACATATTCTTTACCTAAGCACAAATGAAATCTGCGACTTGCTTTCCTCATCTGACATCATGTTTTAGACATACTTCCATACCATAAATATAGAGTTACTTCATTCTTCCTCATGGATGAATTCTTATTGCAGGGATGCACCATAAAACTAGTCAGGTTCCCTAACAATAGACATTACATCATCAGAGTTTAACTGGTGAGGAAAAACTTGTCTCAACACCGATTGAGAACCTGGACAAAACATGGACCCTAGTGATAAAAAATGGGGTCTGACCACTGGATTTTTAAAAACAAAAATTACTGATTTTTTTTTAAATGAGTTAAAAGACAAATTTTAACTCTATTGGTTAATCTGTCTATTAACCAATCTGATGTTGGCTTAAAAATTTATCCTTTGGCTCTCCACTAGCATCCAGGGTTCTTAAAGTTCTTTATTTGATTTGAGTACTGGTCACCCCTTTTTTGCAAAAGGAATGAATCTCCAGAGTCCATAAATCTATACTAGGGCTCCGCCCGCTGGACATTTTCTGCAATTGCACTTCTGATTCAGTTAATGTACCAAACTTGATTCACTCGAAATGAAGGGGTTGGGTTTTTGTTTTGTTTTGTTTTGTTTTTGCTTTTAGATCGATAATTTATACAATAATACATTTATTTTTACTTTTAAGAAAATAAATAATACCAAACTAAATACAGTAATAACGACAGTCTCTTTTCATCTTTTTCTAGTTCTCACTCCCTTCCCTACAAGTAACCACTGTTAGCAATTGAAGTTTATCTTCTCAGACATATTTCTATCATTTACACCCATTATCGTGCACAAATAGAAACATGGTTTTGTTTTTCATGTCTGGGTCCACATTCTCTGAACCTGTGCATCACTGGGAATCAAATTGCCCACCTGCCAGGCATGTGGTTGAAATGAAATGTGTTGAGACCTCCAGAGTAGGGGGTTGGAAGCCCGACACATCCAGTGTGCTCAGAAGCACCTGAGGACAGGTGAGGAGAGCCGCCCTCGTTCACTTTACACATCCTGCAGCGGAGTAGGTAAGCAGGCGCGGTGCCAGAGTGGTACCACTTGCCCGTTTCAGAAACAGCAGTGTACGGTGCAATGGGTTTTGCAAAAAGGAAGTTTACATAATCTATATCCGCATAAAGTTTACAGTCTGCTCAAGGAGACGAGGCGTAAAGCCATAAAGACTTAACTTACACTGTGACAGTAGGACCAGCCCTCCCGTTAAATCCTCCCAATCACCCTATTCCCCGTTTTTCCACTTATGAGAGCCAGACACGAACCCAGACATGGTCTCAGTTTTTTGCAATCAAAACCTGGAATTTATGCTTATCCTGCCATTGGACACTTCTCCAGCTTTGTAGGACATAGTCATTTCTTTTGGCTGCCTAGCACCTCTGTGCCTCCCCAGGGGAAAAACCAATCATTTGTTCATTCATTCATTCCTAAGTGCCCATCAGGTTGAAGGTTCTGTTCTAGGTTCTTGGGACACTTCCACCAGTGAACAAAACAGGTAAAAGTCCCTGCCTGCCTGGAGCTTGTGTTCTAACAGGTGGGAGATGGGCAATAAAGGATAAACTGAAAAAGTCAGATAATGATAAACACTATACAGAAGATTAAAAAAAAAAAAAGAGCAACACAAAGACTTTGAAGAGCCAGTTGATGGTGCAGGCAGTAATTTTTTTAAGTACTGGAGTGAAGGCAACTTCATGGAGGTGACATAGGAGCAAATACTTACAGTAGTAAGAGAGGTAGCCACATGGCCAGCTAGGGGGAGGGCTTCCAGGCAGAGGGAACGGCAAGGGAAAAGTCCCCGAGGTGGGGATGTGCCCAGCATGTTCCAGGAGGCCACCGCGGCTGAGGCTCGGTGAGGGGAAGGGGCGTAAGAAAACACACCAGAACAGCGAGGGCAGGGCAGGATACTGGCTTCTTACCCTGAGCAACATGGGAGCGACTCCAGGCCTGTGAGCACATGGGCGACATGGCTGAATTTTTCAAGGAATATTCTCTGTACTTTGTGTATGTTCGGACATGTCTCTAATGAAAAGGTAAAAATAAAAAAGCTAACTCTAATCTAAGAAAAAAGAAAGAGTCTGGAGGCATCACTCTGCCCGACTTCAAATTATATTACGAAGCGACAGTAATCAAAACGGCATGGTATTGGCGGCAAAACAGACGCACGGACCTGTGGAACCGAATCGAGAGTCCGGAAGTAAACCCATATTTATACAGGCAAATAATTTTCAACAAAAAAGCAAAAAACGTACACCGAAGAAAAGAAAGTCTCTTCAATAAATGGTGCTGGGAAAATTGGAAAACCACATGCAAAAGAATGAAACTAGACTGCTATCTGTCACCATACACCAAAATTAACTCAAAATG